AGAGGAGAAGGAGAAGGAGCAACAACCACCCCAAAATGAAGGAGACACCATGGAGGTGGTGGAGGATGCTGCGACGTGATGGGGCCACTGAGCCCCTTAATCCAGGCCAATGTGAACCACTCGGCGAGGGCGCAGGACCTCCTGCACCATACCCTTTCGGTGGGGGGAATTGGTGGTGGTGGGCGTTTATGCCCCGCCTCGTTGGCCCCTCGCAGAATTTGAGGAGATGTTGGATCGGGTGGGACAAGTAGTGTCGCGTTGTCCCACCCAACGCGTGTTGGTGCTCGGGGACTTCAATGCCAAGGCCAGGCAGTGGGGGTCCCCGGGTACCGACGCGAGGGGAGAGGCGGCCCTCGATTGGGCGGCGGCACGAGAGCTCCTGCTTTTGAACAGGGGCTCAGTGAGCACGTGCGTGCGGCCCCAGGGGGAGTCCATTGTGGATCTCACGTGGGCTTCCCCTGCGGCTGCGCGCGACGTCGCGAGCTGGCGGGTGGTGGAGGAGGTGGAGACCCTGAGCGATCATCGCTACATCAGGGTCGACTTCTCCTCCGACACCCCGTGTCGCCGTGGCCGACGCCCACCACCGAAGAGGTGGGCGCTGAAGCGGCTGGACAAAGATATGTTGGTGGCTGCTGCCGTCGCGGCTAGCTGGCCGGCTTCTCCGGCCAGACAGGTCGCGGACGTCGAGGGTGAGGCTAGGTGGTTCCGGGACACCGTGCAGGACATCTGCAGTGTGGGGATGCCCCGGGCCACCCCTCGCCCCCGCCGGGGCGCGTATTGGTGGACGCCGGAGATCGCTTCGCTTCGCGAGGCGTGTCTCCCGAAGCGCCGCCAATGCCTGCGTGCCCGGCGGAGGCGTAACCGCGACCCCGCGGCGGAGCAAGTTCTGTGGAGCGACTACCGTGACGCGGTGGTCGCTGTGCAGACAGCCATCAGGGAGTCCAAGGACCGGTCCTGGGACGAGTTCCTCGGCTCTCTGGAGCGGGATCGGTGGGGGCGCCCTTATAAGTTAGTGATGGGGAAATTGAGACCGTGGGCCCCCCCGATAACGGAGAGCCTCGACCCCCAGACACTGGGGCGCGTCGTGGAAACGTTGTTTCCGTGGGATGATAGTCCCTCGACGCGCTCCGGGTCGCCGGCCCACCTTCAGTGGACCGACGATATGGGGGTCTCCGAGGGGGAACTCGTCGATGCCGTCAGACGGGCAAGTGCCCGGAATACAGCTCCGGGTCCTGACGGCATACCGGGCCGGGTCTGGGCCTTGGTGCTCCCTTACTTGGGAGAGAGGTTAGCCGGCCTCTTCAGCGCCTGCCTCAGGGAAAGTAAGTTCCCATCAATATGGAAGGCGGGGCGGCTGGTTCTTTTAAAGAAGGAGGGAAAGCCCGAAGCGGAACCGGGGTCGTACCGGCCGGTCGTCCTACTCGACGTGGTAGGAAAAATATTCGAGCGCGTAATCGCAAATAGGTTGGTGGCGCACTTCTCCGGAGATGGTCCGGACGTGGTCGACTGTCAATTTGGTTTCCGCAGAGGACGTAGCACGGTAGACGCGGTACAGAGGGTCCGCAGAATAGCAGAGTCGGCCACGTCCAGGGGCGGGGTAGCGATCGGGATATCGCTCGATATCGTCAACGCGTTTAATGCCCTGCCCCACTGAGTTATAATAAACGGATTGGACAGGCTCCGGGTGCCTCCGGAAATAACGGGGATCATCGGGGACTATCTCCGCGAGAGGTCCATACATTGTGTCGATCGGTTCGGTACGGAAAGATCATGGGAAGTAAGGCGGGGCTTACCTCAGGGATCGGGTCTGGGGCCGTTCTTGTGGATCTTGGAGTACGACCCCGCCTTGTCGGCCCCGTTGCCACCGGGATTACACCTTACGTGCTTCGCAGACGATACGCACGTCTTGATAACGGGTTTTGGCAACGGGGCTAGACTGGGGTAGGACCAGCCGCCTCGCCGAGTTGGGAGCCTCGGTGGTTGTTTCAGCCATCCGGGGGCTCGGGCTAGAGGTGGCTCCCCACAAAACGGAGGTGATGGCCTTTTGCCGCACACGTGGGGGGAAACCTCCGGCTGGAGCTCTGATCCGGGTTAACGAGGTCGAGGTCCAGATTGGGTCCGAGATGCGTTACCTCGGGCTCCGACTGGACAGCCGCTGGAGTTTCAATGGCCACTTCGACGCTCTGGCTCCCAGGTTGGGCCGCGTGGCAGACGCGTTGGCGCGTCTTTTACCCAACCTGAGGGGACCGAGTGAGAAGGTTCGCCGGCTTTACATGGGGGTCGTGCGAAGTAGGGCCTTGTACGGCGCCCCAGTTTGGGCTGCCGATCTGGGCGTCAGCCGTTGCGCGCAGACTGTTTTGCGGC